AAAAAAAAAAAAAACAAAGACATCTAAACTCCACCACTGAAGCCATTCTCGACACCTCCACTCCCACAGTCAAGTGCTTATTCCTCTGTGCTTAGCAAAGCCCCTGCTTTCAACCAGTGCTGCCTGAGCTCCCACTACATGCCCCACACTGCCCTCACAGGATCCAGAGATGCCATTAGTTAGCCATGTGCTGGGCACCGTACTGACTCTCACATGCAATGTCACACATCAGCCTCACTGCAACACTGAGCTCGGTGTTATCTATCTCCTTGGTGCAGAGAAGAATACACACCCAGGAGCGCAGAATCACCTTTGCTCTTCTCCACTGCAATCCTAGGTCATCATAGCCTCTGGCCACACCCCTTGTGCCTGGTTTCCTGCAATAGCCTCCTCTTGGTCAGTCTCCTACCCATCCCTAGCCTGACCCTTTTGGCACAGGTAACAGATATGCCTTACTAAATACTGCTGTGATGAGAACCTTTCAGTGTTTCTGATACAAACCTCTCTCCCGTGCTCTTGACCTATGTACCCATCTGCCTTTAGAGCCGCTGTCTCTGAGTGTCTCATAGGCTTCTCACACTCAATATGTCTAAGGTGGGCCTCATAACCCTCTTCTCACCCCACCAAATTCCCTGATCAAGTTAGGCACCCAGAAAGCACTTGCTCCTTTTGTCAGGTCAATCACCGGATTCTATTGGTTCCACCTTCTAAAACCCTAAAAACAAAACTAAACTCCTAGAAATCTTTATCATCCCTCCATTTCCACCGGCACTGCCCAGGCCCGGCCTTGGTGAGGCCAGGCCCTGATCAGTCCCTCTCCTTGGAACATTAATAAGCCTAGGAGATGACGCCCTCTACAGCCACTCTTTTCACCTTGAAATTCATACACCACAGCATAACAAAGTGGTCCACTCCCACCATGTTACAACCCTGCTGAAAACTTTTCAAAGCTTCTCAGTGCCTGTAGGTTAAAGTGGAATCTTCTCAGAAAATCCCACCCGAAATTTTACTGTGCCTTCCTCTAACCTCTTTTCCTGCGACAATCCAGGCTGCAACCACCCCAGCTTCTTCCTGTTTCTATAATATGCTATGTTTCTGCACATAATATTCCTTGTGCTTGAAATACTCTTCACCTACAGCTGGCTAAGAAAATCTACTCTTCCTTTAAAACCCAAGTCAAGGGCTAGCTACAGTGGTTTGTGCCTATAATCCCAGCACTTTGGGAAGCCACAGTGGGAGGATCACTTGAGCCCAGGAGTTTGAGACCAGCCTGGGCAACATAGGGAGACCCGTCTCTACAAACAAATGCAAAAATTAGCCGGATGTAATGACTCGTGTCTGTACTCCCAGCTACTTGGGAGACTGAGGTGGGAGAATCACTTGAGCCTGGGTGGTCGAGGCTGCAGTGAGCCATAATGACACCACTGCACTCCAGCCTGGATGACGGAGAAAATCTTGCCTCAAAAAAATAAATAAATAAATTATCCAGACAGGGTGGTGTGCGCCTATAGTCCCAGCTACTCAGGAGGTTGAACTGGAGGATCATTTGAGCCCAGGGGTTTGAGGTCACAGTGAGCTACGATCACACCACTGTACTTCAGCCTGGGTCTCTGAAAAAAAAAAAGAAAAAGCAAAAAGATCCAGGTCAATATGCGTTTGTCTCTGTTCTAAACAAAGGAGAGCTAGCCTTCCTCTTTTGTGCCAACTCTAGAAATGTACATTCTATTATTAATTATCTTATTGAGTCTCTATTGCAACTGTGTTAACATGTCTGTTTCCTGACTTGACTGTGAAATATCCAGAAGTGAGGACAATGCCTCATTCCTCTCTCTATATCCAGCTGCTTATATGGCTCCTGGCTCAGGAAAAAAGGCATTCTCACGTTTGTTGAGTGAATCATAAAATAACACTTTGCATATACTGAGCACTTAGGGTGTGCCTGGCTCTTTACGCCCATTGTTCCTTTACCCACCACTGCTACATTGTGAATGGATATTACTATCACTTCCTTTTAGAGCTGAAGAGACCAAGACTCAGAAAGTAGGAGTAACTTGGCTAAGGTCACACTGCTAGTTGGTGACAGTCAAAATTTGAACCCAAATCTGCCTGTCTGAAAACTTCCAGTGGGCTA